TTTATTTATCAATTAGAGTAATTTGGTATTGCTCCTCTCACATACCATAAAAGTTTGAAATTTGTTTTCTTTAAAAGCTCATCACAAAACAACATAAGATAACCTAGAAATACAACGTGTATTTGCAAAAATTTGTGCAATGATTTAGGAATTAGAACTGTTTCGGGAAAATTTAAGGTGACACATCATTTTTTTCAGTAAATTACAATTTTATATTAAGCACTCTGAGGTCTATGTAGAAAACAAACTAACCGGTCTTTCACTTTGGTCCATGAAAAATATTTTGATCTGTATTTCAAATTCTCCCCAACCTGACTCATTAACTTCATATGGAGGCTTTGTTACCACTGTATCAAGAAAAAAAAAATTATCTTGGTAAGTACCAGTATATGCCAGTTCATGACTCTTACTGTTAACTGCCATGGCAAAGCACCACCTGTTCCATGCACAAATATTAGAAAAATTAATGCATCACATATACTTTAAACAACATTTCACACATCACAAATAACCTATTTTGATATATTAAAATTTAAACTTAGCTCCAAAGCTTAGGAGAATTAAACAAGAAATCACATAGAGGTTGAGTGATGAAAAATCAATTTCTTTTGTTCTATTCCCCCTAGCGTTAGAGCCATGTTAGAAGTTAAATATATTGATAATAGAGAAAACTCATATCTCTTTTCTGGTGAATGAAGTCTCAGGGAAATCTTGAGGTTTTCATTAAATGAAATGTAAATTCATGGGTCACATTTATTTCTGGAGACAAATTATGCCTCTTACTGGTTCATAAATTCCCAAATTGTGCTCATCTTTCTGTAAATTCATGGATCGCAAATTAATTTTAGCCTTAATCACATGTCACATGTAAACCATATACCACCCTCCTCTAATTCCCAAGTCCAAAAAAAAAGAAGCAAAGTTTCAATTCAAACAAAGCTAAGATAAAGCCGCTTCAATTCAAGGGTTGGTTACAAAATAGAAGAAGAATTAAACAGGAAGGCTACGTGTCCATCCTCTCTCATCTATCTACCTATCTGTCTGTTAAGTCTTTAACTCCCAAGATCTGATTGTTAAATCTACCCCTCTTCCAAATATTTCCTTGTAAACAAGTTATGAGAATTTGGTGTTAGATCAAGATAACAGCTTCCTGATAAGTTTGAGTATTCTCATCACCAGTTTTCTGGATAATGTGTGGATATTATAGGGAGAAGTTACATGTTAATCACAAGTGGGATAATGCATTAAATCTCTTATGTCCAGTTGTACATCTATACAATTTTGATTACATGATTTCTGTACAACTCCATACTTTATTATGTAAACAGTTCTTGCATAAAGAAATCAATGGTGAAAACAAGAAATACTTTTTTTGAAAATTTTGTGGCTGGTAGGAGGTAGCATTTTGTCTCAGCCAAGAGACTCCTCAGCTACTTTTTCGAAAATTTTCGGTGAATTAGTTGAGCATCGCACTTTAAATCCCATTAGTGAAATCAAAATGTTAACAGGCTGGCCCTCTATGGCAAAAGGATTCCCAACCACATGTTCATGAGTTACAATACATACAATGAAAAGATATCAAATACTTAATACAACGAAAACAATAAATTACCTTGGGGGTTATGGCTTTTTTTTGACATTAGAATGGGAATTGTGCATAAATATTGTTACTTTGCTTTCAGTACCTATCAAAATTTTTCTTTATGTATCTGTCTGTCCATCTTTCACCCTGTCTACTTCTTACATCAACCTCCATATAGTTATCAATTCTTCCATGTGATTTTTTTTTTTTTTTACCAACTGAATTGATAATTAACAATTATTCCACAAGCACATGTTGGATATGAGATGATAGATAATCAACAAGACGCGTAGCACTGAGTTGGTTATAATCATCTCATATCCAACAAGCGTGAGTGGAATAATTGTCTTATTAGAAAAAACGCCCCCAAGATATTAGATAAATCTTACCAAATCTTAAATTTTTTTAGCTCCCTTTTCATTTTAAGCTGATGCATACGCTTACCATATTTGTAGATTATGGTATATTGGCTCACATACCATAATGGCTAAGCCAATAAAAAGTCTTCAATTGCATTATCCGATGATTCAGTTTTTAATTACTAAAAATTAGCCATCGTAAAGAGTTTCAAAGCTGACGTTAAGAGCAGAGTGAATGACGAAGGGCAAACCCTCAAAGTGTCAGCTTTGCAACAATTCACAGTGGTCAGTCTACATTATAAACTCAGCTTTTAAAACCTTAATTACCTTGGTACTCCCACCAACCCAGCATCACAGATTCTTTAGAAACTTAAACCTTTAATTCTTCCATGTGGCTTGTTTAACTGTCTGTCTATCTGAGGCTCTCTGTATGTCTTTCTATCCATCCCATATCTGTTTATAAATCAGTCTGTCTGTCTGATTGCATGTCTTATCCTTTATTTCCCCAAGCCCTTGCCAATCGAAATTTCTTACCTCTTAATGGATTAGCATAACTTTCATGAAGTTTGAAGTGGACCTTTTTTACGTAACTGGACATGTCCTACAAAAAGTAATCATATTTTGAACAATTCAATTTTTAGGTCCACTGGGGATAAATTTGACAGATGGACCGACCTCGTTTTTGAAAGGGCGAAGAAAAACTGTCCATCCATGAGTGTGGCCATCGCTTTCGCGTTTCTTTCCAAAGTAATGAGACACATTTCCAAATATTACAGGCTTTATGATTGTTATACCCTTTAAAGAACAAAAAAATTGTAATATTATCAATCAAAAGAGAGAGAAAGCTTAGGATTATTCTACCAGAACGTTAACAAACCTTAACTCTCGCATTATCGCCGGATGACGCCATATTGTTTCTCTCGGCGTTGATCATCGCGGGCGTACATCCCGTTCATTAATGTTGTCAAGTATGTTTAGTAAAGTGTATCCATTTGGAACAAAGGTAGTTGCAGGGGCCGTGATGACTGGGTTCTTGTGATGACTCAAATAAAAGCTTCTGAAGTCAGAAATAGGAATTCCCTGCTTAGCTTTCGTACAATTTACGTAAGGTGCGCGAAAATTCTTAACTCCACTTTGAAAAATCCTAGCAACCCCCTCTTTCTCTTATTATCGGAAGAAAAAGGACACAAATCGGGCGGGGGCGGGGAGGGTATTCCCTTATTTGACCTTATCGGGTATTTACCCGCTCAGTAGAGTTTGACAGATTTCAAAGCTGTTATGTTCTTATGTTGAAGCTAAAAGTAAAACCTTATCATTTATTTAGTTTATACCAGAAATTGTTCCGTAACTTCAATAGGTCATTGTCATTTACCATAAACAGGGCAGCGAAACAGAGCCGCGGTTTCGGGGGTTGACAGAATATCCCTGTTCTCCTTTAGTGTACTATAATTCCTCCTCGTCCGCATCTCAGAAATCCTACTTAGGGACCCCTTCTCTCTGCATGATTATTCACTGCCCTTTACTCTGCAGACGCAATAATGGAATGACGTGCTCTTTGACTTGACTTCCGGTGGCCCGTTGAGTATCGTAAACCTTTACTCCTGGAAGCAAGGGTTTCTTAAAACTTTTGACGATAAAAATCAACGGTAAAACACGACGTTTCGACCGTGCTTCGGTCATTGTCAAGTGAATGGAATGAAATACAGTAAATATATGTATATATACACGTAAGAAATATAAAAAATTTTTGCAGGTGTAAACAAACGATAAAACTACAAAGAAAGTATTCCTAGACTTTTAATATACCCAAAGGGAAATACAACTGGCTAATTGTTCCATGTTTTACAATCTGAAAACTTCGTATGGTGCACGATCCTCGCAGTAGAGAGCGCTATTTATGGAATAGCGAAAATCAGACTTGAAAAAAATCAGGCTTGTACGGGATTCGAACCACTGACCTCTGCGATACTAGTGCAGCGCTCTACCAAGTTAACAAGCTGACAAGGTTGTCAGTTGAAGCCAACTGAAAAGTTGGCAGTTCTAATTATCTCTAAGTTAGAAGACTTAATTTGAATAACCTTTGTTATATTGTTCAAACACCATTATATAGTCTCCAAGACCTACTTACTTCATATGCAGAACGGAATACCGCACTCAATATATAAGCTTTTAATATCGGACTAAATAGTGCCCTGAATAAATGACGAGTGTAAATGAAGTGGGTGCTGTCAATTGAAAAAATACTGCGTGGAACCAGCATGTTTTTCGATGGCAATGGCCGTATATGAGTCCTATATACAAACCAAAATATTTCTGTCGTATTTTCAACTGATCTTGACAGATTTTTTTTTTTTCAGCAGATCCGGGAAAAGCATTTTGGCGTGGGAAAAAAAAAAAGGACACAAAAACAAGCTGGTATATCTTTGAGAACTGTTTACATAGGTGGCAATCATTCCCAAAATATCACAATTGCTAATATCGATATTACATACTAGAAAGATAGCTTGCCAATCTTACAGTAATGGTGACCCGTTTTAAATTTTTGTGCATTATCTCCGAAAACAAATCTTGAAAGTGAAAAATACTATCGACTATTGGTATCTATTATCAGCGACAATCGGGTGTATTGTTACGTCTCTGACAAAACATTTTTGACCTCAGGAAACTGTCAATAACAATGTATCGTTTACAAAAAGAAGAACTGAATAAAAAGAAAAAAAGGAAAATTAGCTGAACTACACTGGATTGTCGCTTGAAGTCGTGGTGGTGATAGTTCCTGAAACTGTAGGACCCAACGATAGCGAGTTCATGGACTGGCTCATCTGCAAAGAAACCGAACGCAGTTTTGCGACGATTTTTCCACAAGTTAGGATCTTTGAGAATGCCCTCCGGTACGGCTCGAGACGCCATGCGAAAACAAAGGGGTTCATGCTTGAGTTGGCCATGATTAAAATGTAATTTAAATCTCTTGCCCAGTGAATAAATACACAGTTACAACTTCCGCAGAAGCTAATCACGTAGATCAATAACAAAGACGGGAGAAACCAGCAAATAAACAGCGCGAGCATGATAAGAAAAGTTTTTGTGATCTTCTTTTCCCACTTGATTGCCCTCATTTTGACGTGATTGTCACCGTCACGACCATCGTGTAAAATGTCCCAGTTCTTCACTTGTATTTTAAAGCTTTTGAAAACCTTCATATAAGTAAGGCACATGACGGAGAACGTGGCTACTACCGCTGTATTTGCGAAGACAAATTGATAGTTCAAATAACCGACTTTAAAATAAAGAAACGGAAAGGCAATTGAAACGACCCATAGAACAAGCGAAACTATGGCGGCTCGCTTTGTAGTCAATTTGATCTTGTATTTCAACGGATCTGTAATTGCGATAAATCTGTCCACAGTCAAAGCTGCTAAGCTAAACAGTGACGCTGTCGTAGAGATGAAGGAACTGACCCGTCGAGCATCATCTCTCGGAAGGAGAGTTATTTTATCCGTTAGCGATTCGCGAATGTAGAATTCCACTGACATCGGAAGCGCAACACAGCCAACGATCAGATCTGCTGCCGCTAAATTAGCCACCAAGAAGTTAAATGGCGATCGTAGATTGCGATTTGGATCGATAATTACGGCAAGAAGTACCAGGACGTTGCCTGTGGTAGCTGTGACGGTGAGTAGAGAACAAAACGTAGCAGATGTAATGCTCAAGGCTGTTGGAGCAGAAATATTCGAACACGGGTACAATCCGATTAAAGACATCGCTGTTGCGAGGATGTTGCCTCTTTATCCTCAGAGTGCGTGTTAGACCTATTTATAACAAGGTTAGAGGATGGAGAAGTGTAAGAGAGGTGTTTAAGCGGAGATGTGGGATTACCTGTCACTATTTTGGCTTCCGGAAATTAAATTTACACTCACTGATTTGATAAACCGTCACGCTTCGTGGGGAGGGTTTATCAACGTCAATCAAACTGAAACAAACTGACTGACACTCGAAGGACGACAAACTTTGGATTTACTTCTTGATTTTATGTGGGAATTTTTCGGGGACAAAACTAATTAATGATGGAAACTAACGAAGTTCACACACTTGCATCAAAAGCAACAGCTATTCTTGAGCCTGGGGCGAGATAATCACTGTCTCCAAAGGGAAATTAAATAAATACAATTTGTCATATTAACGTCGGAAGAACGATTAAGTGGAAAGAGTACTTCAGCGGTATGATGATAACTTGTGTAATGTAGTTCATTTGAATATTCAAGAAAACTCGTCACACGAAAAAGCTAAGACATTAATATCCTGGGATGTGTGGGTGATTTCCTCGCTACTTCAAAAAATGACGCAATCATTTGATGCAAAGAGCGCTTTTACGTAGCTACGGGATCCCACACCGATTTAATAAGGTTAACTAGAATAACTGTCTAAAAAATAAAAATGAGAAAAAGTGTCGAAGGTGAAACCCTTATTTCATGCTTTAAGCTGGACAATAAAAGCGCTCTTAATAAAAAAAATAAATAAAGCGATTTGGAAATTGGTTGTTTTCGTTTTCTAAATTTAATTGTCATCTTTTTCAGCTTACGAAATTTCGCTTTTTTCTCAACTCAATTTCTGAATGCTTCTTTTGTTTCAAAATTAGAGAAATATGAATTTTTAAAATCGTTCCCTCCGCCTAATTTTTTTTTTCTTTAATTTGTGGAGGCTCAACAAATTAGAATTTCTCTCTCAGGTCGACAGCGTTCTTCGATTTTTCTCGGGGCAGTTTGGAAGAAAGTGTTCAACAGAATTGAGCACCGCTCTTTTATTTTAATTGTCAGTAAATATCTTCAACGAGGAAGGTAGACAAAAAATGGCTTATTTGCAGCAAACTTAAGTCAACTGAAACTGAGAGAAAATGAAGACAAGAATTAATATGCGTTGTTAGAAAACGAAATTGCACCTGCCTCTAGATCCACGAGTTAGTAACAAGCTGTTTCGTATAGCAATTGAACCAAAGTGCCACTACGTGGATTAGGCAAATTATTCTAATTCCTCTAAATCTGAATTACCCTTATCCAAAAAATATTTAATTTCAATTTCATCATGGGGCATTGAGTATTGGATGTAAGTCGATTCTCAAACTTGATACTGGAATAATTTATAGGTGAAATTTTCCTAGTGAGAAGATTTGAATGAATTGTGATGTTTCATAGTTCTCCTTCGATGACATACGCAACCATGTAACAATGTAGCTTGATTGGGTTCTTCCAGGTGTGTTTTGTAACAAATTAAACAGAGTTAATACGCACCATTTGTATGCAGCTCATTGATTTTGAAAAAGAAGTGGTTGGTTGCGCAAAGATTAAAGATCTCATTGATATTATGATCTGAGAAACTAAAATAATTCTGAGATAGAGCTCTATCATAGCAACAAAATATATCCTTGATCAATATTAACTTTAAGAACAAAAGTTCATGAACGCCCACGACATTTTTCTCTTATGGGTGGTTTGCACGTTACGTCATTGCCGCCATGTTGGTGGACGTAAACAATAGATATCTCATTAGCTTCTTTTACATATGATGCACGATCCTCGCAGTAGATAGCGCTATTTAAGCAATAGGTCAGGTCTGATTTTCGCTATATATTTCATTGTATCTGATTTATCACTTTCACGGGTTTATTACGAATCAACTTAACGGCCTGCTCCCTGTGGTTCGAATCCCGTACAGGCCTGATTTTTTTCAGGTCTGATTTTCGCTATTGCTTAAATAGCGCTATCTACTGCGAGGATCGTGCATCATATGTATCTAATACCGCAGTACAAAATATATGAACTTCATATATTTCATTGTATCTCATTAGCTTCTTTTGTTCGTCCACTAGCATTTATTCCTTTCACCATTGTTACCTGTGCCTCTAGAGATTGGTTGCAAACCACCTATAAGAATCAAGATGAGCCCATCTCGCCCGCTCAAATAGTGCATCAGAATACACGACTCGCATCTAATCGCCCACGGGCGCTGTCCGCTAGCTGCTAAAGATACCATACATTTCGATTGTCTGTTGCCTGGCTGGTAAGGGCTTATCTTCTTACAGAAACATTTCAGATTTTCTAATTCCATGTCTTTTATTTCGAAGACTTATATTAATTACAGAAAGACCGCGCTATTAATAAAGATAAATTAAATAGCTCTTTTATTGTAATTTCTGCAACTTCTTATAGCAGTTCGTTTTCACTCTACAACAAAGTAATTCCTTAAAACGTTCGGTCATATATCATATTCTTATATAAATAATTGTACTTTAGCGTTCCACTGAAAAATTAATGGAATTAAAATCAAACATAAAATGAAAACAAAATAAAACACAAAAAGAAAACACAATAAAACAAAAGAAACAGAATGAAAAAAAAAAACTACAAAAAAAACAAAAGAAACAGAATGAAAAAACTTTAGTACGAGATTCGCGCAAAATAACTGTATCAGTCAGAAGAAAAAGCAAATCAACTCACAACTTCGTCGCACGCGTTTTGATTTCCCGCGTTTAGCGACGATCACGTTTACCGTTTTACAAATTTTTATTGGTTGCGATTCTTTCTCGTACTCTCGTCGTTTACTTATTAAAAAGAGCTTTAGTTTTCTCGCCTTCAAAAAAGCTGTTTTATAGTTCTATCTATTAAATCAACGTTTCTATTTAGTTCATCCAATCGGCATAGCTTGTTCTGGGAAAAGAGCTGGAGTCGCCACAACAGCAGCGCCAGTTTCAAACTTCCATACAACGGATCCATCATCACCATGCAGTGCGTAAACAAACTTGTCCGAGCTGGCGGCGTACACGACGTTATCACGCGAAACAGCCACTGACGCCACGATGTAGTCACCTGTTGTTGGAGACCATAAATGGGAACCGTCGGTTTGGTTGAGTGCCAAGAGGCGCCCATCACCAGATCCTACGAAAACCTGTGGTTTAAGAGGACGAATTACGCAGATTAGAAAAACGAGGCTTTATATGTCGCATCGACTTTTATTTCGCTAATTCTACAGATCCGTTTACGAGATAAGAGGGCAACGAATTCGATGTTTGAAGCGGTTTTCATTGAGTGTCTTGGGTGAACTGGGCGGCAATCATTTGACATCTCCATGCTTAATAATTGGTTAGAAAAAAGAGGCACCAGTTCAACCAATCAGGAGCAAAGCCTTACCTAATGGTTTGTTGGTGACTCGCGTTTTCCCGCGCTCTATGAAGTTTTGTTAAATGAACTTCGACCCATCCTAATTGATAGAGTTGGCATCTTGAGCCAGTGTGTTAGAAACAAATCTCACTCACCCTCCCATCCTCCGTGATGACAGGTGATGACACCACCTCCCCGCCAGTATTCACCGTCCACTTCAATTTTCCCGCCAAAGGACCATTCACGGAGTTGACCGCAATCAACTGATTCTTAATTAAGCCAACGTATAGTGTACCGTCCAACTTACTGATCACTGGAGAGGACTCTATCTCGGACCCCGTGTCATATGACCAGTACAGTTTGCCAGTTTCGCGGTCTAAAGCGTAGATATTATGGTCCAGGGAAGCAAAGAACACGCTTTGGCCATGCGATAGAAGTGCTGGTGAGCCGTAAACGCTTCCCGCTTGGTCAAAAGTCCAAACAATTTTGCCCGAGTTGGCATCGAGGGCGAAAATATGAGGTTTGTGTTGAGAGTCTGTTGCGTTCGACTGATCTGTGGAGCAGCCGACGAATAGAAGTCCTCTTTGGTTGTCCAGAGTGACAGCACCCCAAATAGGGCAGCCAAGGTCTGTCTTCCAGACAACAGATCCATTTTTACCATCCAAAGCATACACCAGCTTATCCTGTGACCCGATGAAGACAGTTCCGTTCACACTTACAGTTGGGCTGGCCACAACAGCACCTTGTGTTACTAGAGTCCAAACGACTGAACCATTGGCTGTACCAAGGGCGTAAACTTTACCGTCCACGGAGCCGAAGTAAACGATCTCCTCGTCCTGGCTGAGCGATGCAGACGACATGATCTTGCCAAGAGTTCGGAATTTCCAGATGACAGTTCCGCTGGTGGCGCCGAGTGCATACATGAAGTGGTCTTCAGAACCAATAAAAACCATTAGCGGTATCACTGAGGCATCACCGAGGTCCTCGTCATCTTATAAAGAGAAGAGGATGAAAAATAAACGCTGCAAAATTAAGTTTATATTTATATATATTTATAGATATAAGAGATTATTATGTTCAGTGGAAATGGTGGTTTGTAAGCCCATCACATTTTTAAATAACAAAAACACTCAATTTCTCGAGTTAACTATCGATTGAGCCCTCATTTCATTCGTGGTGTATCGCCCTTAGCGGTTCGATAATAAAAAAAAAAAATCAAAGAAAAAGTTTAAAATAAATTTACGCCCGACCTGGCCCTTAATCCCTACAGAAAATCTATAGCTAAATTTCCACCAAGTAGTTTATTCAGGACCTGCCCTAAAGCAACGTCATATGAGTTACCGGTATAACAGCGGCCACGCTTAAAGAAAAGATGGTACACCGTGGAGACACTGTGCCTCACCTCAGAGAAAAACATTATTATTATTATTATTATTATTATTAGTATTATTATTAGTATTATTATTATTATTATTATTATTATTATTATTTTATGTAGGCCTCCCAGTTAGCTCAATGGATAGAGCGCTGGACTGTTGTGCGGGAGGTCGAGGGTTCGAGCCCCGGCCGGACCAACACTCAAGGTCTTAAAACATGTGAGCAGTATATGCTGCCTTTCTATGACATCAAGAAATCGTTAGATACTCTTGTCTTCTCGGATGGGGACGAATAAATGGAGGTCCCGTCTGCTACAGGGTTAGGGGTAGGTGACGTTAATTTTCCGCGCACGAGATTACGGTGTGATGGATGTCCTCCCCTGGGGTGGTTGC